AAGGAGATTCTGGAGTCACAATCTCAAAAAAAAAAACGACTCCACAGTGTGTAAGGTGAAGTTTCTACCAAACAGAGTCTTTGCCTTCTTGAATCAAGTCCCAGCTGAAACAGTTAGTGCTACTTTCGCGACAGTATTCAAGACAAAACTTGAAAGTCAGTTCCCAAGTGCTCAAACTAAAACAAACACCTAAAAAGTCTGGCTCCGTCAAGTTAGCCTCCCCACATTCGAATTTTCTAAAAAAATTGCAACCACTTACTGTGCTCGAAGTGTGCTTTACTGTGCCGATGATATTTTGAACTGTGCCGTTTCGATAACAAAGTTATAGGAAAAAATAGATGAGGGGCTAACTTGACGCTCAGCCCCCCCAAAATTTTGGAAACCAGATTAAATCAAAAAGGATTCTTATCCGATCGGAATTGTGCTGAACTGTGCCGTATCAGGTTTTTCTCAAAATTTCCATATTCGGTTATTTTCCGACAAAATTCTACTGGGGGGCTAACTTGACGCTCAGTCTCCCCAAAATTTTGGAAATCAGATTAAACAAAATTGAATTCTTATCCAATCTGAACTGTGTTGGATCAGGTTTTTCTCAAAATTTTATTATTAAATCTTGTATCCTTGTTTTTTCCGTTTTTTAGCAGGTGTTTCTGAGAGCTGAACCTTGTTTTCACTATCCGCAGGATTGCTCATCCTAAAAAGGCGTCAATTCTCGAGGCGGCAGCTGGTCTGCAAGTGACGTCACCACTATCAGCAACTGATGATGGTGGTTACGTCATCCGCAGACCTCGATGGATTGTTTACGATTCAAGCTCTGCTTGTGAGTTGATTTTTTTTGGGAATTTTAAATTTGGAAAAGGTGATTTCACGTTTATGAATCAGTTTTTGGACTCGGATAATGAATTTTCTTCCAAGGGTTGAGGTCTACAGCTGACGTCACAGATAGTGGGGTCTCGTGGACTTGGCAAACACTTTCAGCTCAATAAGCAGTCCTATAATATTACGTTAAGTGTTCAGGCGCGCATGTACCAGGAACGGCGTAACATAACTAAATATTATATAGTAAATTTTTATTTCGATTATTTCCGATTACATTATATTTGATTAGTGATTTAATTTACTACAGAGAGAATTCGTGAGAATTGCTACCTCATTCGTGAAATTCTGACCAAAATCGTGTAATCTTACGAATAATCGTGAGATCTGGCAACACTGCTGTTCAGTCCTCGTTGGATGACCGACAACCTTGTACTATTAACTGACATTTGTTACTTATAAATATCAGGTAATATATCTTTCCATTTGTTTCAATTAATCCAGGGTTGGATGGGCTTAGACAAACCGGCCCTGGCAATGTTTTTCATCTAGCCCTCCCTTGGGCGGCAAGAATGAAAAATGGGTTTCAAAAATTTTACTGTAAAGAATATTTTGGAATTTTCATTTTCGATATTATTACACATAGATAGGTCACGGTCCCATTGTGACAAACAAATAGGACTTGACGTTTTCTCTTCCCTTAAATGCTCCTTGCATTACATTCCATTATCTTTTGTCTGTCAAATGGTCTGTCAAGTGACTACTCTTATGGCTAGGATGTTTGAGAGAGGTAGGTTGCCTGATAACTGTATGACGTCATTTGGGGTGCCTCATGCTGGCAGGAAAACTGAGGTCCAAAAGTAACCACTTTTCCGAGAACCAGAGTAATTAGTAATTAGATTACTTTCGGATCGCTTTTCTGTCGTTGCTACATCTTTATTTTTGGTTGAGGAGCGATGATTAACCCTCCGATTTGACTGGATTTGACCCATTTCCCAAAATCATAAATACTTGCTTCTTGATGTTACTAAATTGATACCAAGGTCGTGTGTATAAATAGGGATGGCAACGATATATCGATATTTTTAAAATATCGATATATCGGAATAAAAATATCGATATTTTGCATCGATATTTAGTCCGTCGATATATCGATGTATCGATATTGAATATTGTCGATATTTGTAGTGGAGGTGGGGGTGCAGTTATGGCCATTTCCACCAACTCTTTTAGGGAAGCCCTAACGATAGGTATACCTTAAACTGACATTTCTCCATGTAAAAATGTCATTTTAGGAAATACTTATCGTTAGGGCTCCCCTAAAATAGTTGGTGGAAACGGCCATTAATCACGTTTGCGAGATAAGAGCTACGGTGTTTTTTTATCATCTATCACAAATTACGTCGGTCGAATGCACTTTTGATCTACTCCTTCCTTACTGCGGGCCGAAGATGACAAAAACGAACATAGCTTCGGTAATTGCATCTGCGAGCAAAAAGAGCAAATTTTGACTCACTTATCTTTTTTCACGTGTCAAGTCCCGTGACATCTGTCAAATTTTTCTCGTAGATGCAATTACCGAATTCAGCTTAGAACCCAGCCTATGTAGATATCTAATTAACATAACAATTACCATTTAATTTGAAAAGAGTTGAAAAAAAAAAAGCTAAAATTATACTGAAGAAACCGATATATTCTTTTTACCTAAATATCGATATTTTTCTCTTCGATATGTCGATGCATCGATATTAGCTATACCGATATTTATCGATATCGATATATCCATATTTTTTTGAAAACTGCCATCTTTATGTATAAATCGTGTAATTATGAGACGAAATCGTGTAAAACTATGTGATTTGACCAGCATATCGTGTAATTTCACAAATTCAGATTGGCAACACTGCATTCTCAACTAAACCGTCATCAGTGGTTTCGGACCTCACGCATAATATTCAGTTTAAGGCTATGGTCCGAATATAACCAAAGTAACCGCAGAGATATGGGAGAGTTGTTGGTTAGAATAGAATAAGGGTCCATCCTGCGCAACTGGCCAATTTGAAGGACCGCCATTTTTATCACTTGTCAAATTAGGTGTTGAAAAAATAGGTCATGAACAACTCATAACTCCAAAAATAAGCACAAATAACAAAAGGAAATCTTTTAAAACACCGCTCTGAAAAAAATATCTCAGAAAAAGTAAGAAAAATTGTCAAAAACAACAATCTGTAACCGACCAAAAGTAAGGTTATGTTGTGAAAACTCTGTCAGATTGAAGTTGTCAACGTAAAAACTAATAGCGTTTCCGATTGGTAAATTTAATGCGCACTGAGTGTGTTTTCATCCTTTTTCATCAACCTGTAGAAGAAAAAGATAGAAATAAAAAAAAACTGCACTATATCTATTAATCGGAAATGGCATAAGTAAAAAGTGATAAAAATGGCGGCCCCCTTTGCGTTACCATAAAATCGGATGCGCATTCGTCTAAGCGCATTCTATTTCCCTCACACATCTCTGAGTAACCGATCCGGTTGACAGATGGTTATTGAAAATTCCGGTTACGGGAACGCGAATATGAAATAAAAAAATTTTGACAGAATTTACAGATAAAACCTTAGAGCAGGTAAAGGTAAAGAGGAGTAGTAACCTGGATTTGGAAAATGAAGCCGTTTTTTTCTAGTTATTTTGGCACCAAGAAAACGGCGCTTATGGCAATTCAATGCTTTATGTGTATCTTGGTGCCAAACACCTGCCAAAAATTTGGCTTCACTTTAGTTTCATAAGCAGAATGGCGCGTTCCTACTCCTTATGTCCGTAGGACAGCGCTTTCCTGCTCTAAGGATAAAACCAACAGAACCGACATCCGATAGTCGGTAACTATTTTGACATTTGGTTAACCAGATTTCAGGAAACCAAGGTCCAAAGTAACCACTTTTCCAGGTACCAGAGTAATTTGATCGCTTTCGAACCGCGAAACCACAACCCTGGTTATATTCGGACCACAGCCTTAATATTGTTTTAGATAGTTTTCATGATGTTTTTGTCAAATATATAAATTTTAAAATTTTAATATTAATTTAAGACGCGTCGGGCCTGTGGCCCGACCGGCCCAGAGTTATATCGGCCCACCGGGCATTTGCCCGGTCGTCCCATTCAACCCTGAATTAATCTGCAGTAAATCCAAATTATGTCAACATTTAGCCCTTGATTTAGCCTGTTCGAAGATGGACTATAATTTTCATTCTATGAAATTTCAATTTTAGATGATAAAGAAATAATTGTTCTTGGTACATAAAAAAAAAATACTAATAATTTTAAATAGCTCGAAATACCTCGGCTTACCGCGAAATAATTCGAATTACCTCGAAATACTTCGAATTACCTGCAAATATTTCGAAGTAATCCGCAATACCACAAAAAGCTAGGTTCGAATTACCACCACTGAAATACTTTGAATTTCGCGAAATACTTGCGAAATACCGACATTTTCGCAATAAGTGTACATATTTTTACAGAGTGTTTGACCCCTTGGCGTCAAGTTAGCCCCCCAGTAGGATTCTGTCGGAAAATGACCGAATATGGAAATTTTCAGAAAAACCTGATACAGCACAGTTCAAATTGGATAAGAATCCTTTTTGGTTTTATCTGATTTCCAAAATTTTGGGGGGGCTGAGCGTCAATAGTTAGCCCCTCATCTATTTTTTCCTATAACTTTGTTATCGAAATTCAAAATATCATCGGCACAGTAAAGCACACTTCGAGCACAGTAAGTGGTTGCAATTTTTTTAGAAAATTCGAATGTGGGAGGGCTATAACTTGATGCAGCTTAAGAGGTCTCACCTCAGCTCATATCGACTAGATAGTAATAGTAATAGTAATATATTTCTACTCTTCTCTGAGTCATTTACCTAGAATATGTATTTTGATACTTTCAGAATAGTCCCGGTAATAATAAATATAACCGTACTCGTAAGTGTAAAGTAAATTGCTTCGCAAGGAAAAATTAAACACACAGCACACACACATCGCCATCAATGCACACATACACATAATGAGTTTTATTATAATCCCAACCGTTCCGAGTTGTTTGATAAATAACAATGATAACACGACAGTCGTTGTTGAACGCATCTCGTAGCATGCACGGCACAATCGAATACAAATTAGTGTTTTTTCCGTTTCAGTTTCGCCGGTTTCTGGACCCGCAGAACCATCGGAGAAGAGGATCAGATTTCGACCTCCTCTTCGCCTTGGATTATAAGCGGCGTCGACCAGGACAAAGTCAAAGTGCTACAACCACAATCGCTTATGGCGAAACAGACAGAAGATCTTCGAGGTGTAGTTAAAAGTAAATCTGATAAGCATAGGAACTACTTTAAAAGCTTGGTGGGTACCTGTAACGGTGACCAGCCAATTATACAAGGTAATACACAGATGGCGCAACCTAAGCAGGTAGCTAATAATATACAAGACACTGATATAAAAATTAAAAATGAAAGTAAACGGCAAAGACGCTTGGGGGTCTACGAACGAGAGGCTTTTGATAACAAAACTCATCAAGAAGAAATAATTTTCAAAAGCGTCAAACAATTAAGAAATCAATACCTTGCAATGTTAGACGATAAGACAATAGTAGAACAAAAACCCAAAGAATTACTAGCATTACCGCCTCAAAGCGATTATGCTAGTTCTTCGGGTACAAGTGACGACGAAAAGACTACCTGGCATCGAAAACATAAAGTTACTCGATGCGGAAGTTCAGATTCGGCCATGGGCCAAAGTGACGACGAACCCCAAATTAGTCCTTATAGTCCTAGAGGGTCGATAGATCATTCAAATGTGCCAAGTAAGATAATAATCCAAGCTCAAACAGTTTTATGTCCTGTCGATAGGAAGTCCAGCATCAGCATGGACTGCGTTAGCGAGGATAATGATTTCGACAGTAGAAGGCAAAGTTGTTTTACGGACGATGGAGATGAGGTACCGCGCTATCGTTACTGGCGTACGCCTTCGGTAGTGGTCAGTGATTATTCGGACGATATTATGGGATTGACCCTCGAAGATATCGAATATATTAGGAGTCGGAAGGAGGCTTCTTCGAGTACCGATTCGAGTTTGCACAGCTCTTGCAGTAATTTGAATTATTGCGGTTCGACTATAAGTGGACTCGATTCGGAGTTTGTTCTTACGAAACCTTATCGGAAATCTTCGAATTGTTCTACTTGTTCTACTCTGAGCGGCGATGAGGATCAGGAAACGAATTTCGAATCTTCGACGGCGAAATCGACGTTGCGACCTGCTGGAAGACCACGAGAGGTAAGAATTTTTCATATTATGATGATGGTTATTGAACTTATATAAGCTTATTTTGTCACATCACATTATAACAATTCATTAATCAATTTCGAATTTCATAAAATGTACCTATATATAGATGGAGGTTTTGTTGACACCAAACAAACACATGTCGATAAAGAGATGTACTTTGACGTCAATGATGACGTCGGTACTAACTCGCTTTTGGAGGTCGACGAGATCAAAAACGCTGCAGTATTGCCCGGCTGGCTTGCTGACTTTATTTTTTATTGCTATCATTAGATAATTATTGTATGGGATGATTTGTGGATTTTTTTTTAAGAGAGTGCAAACCATACAAAATGCAAGCTTTATAACGTACATAAAAATGACAGAGATACAAATACAGCAATTGAGAAATTGTAATGAATAAGTATATGAGTAATAGTATTTTACTTATCTATTGAGCTTTGCATAGGCTCAACAGCTTGTTGAAAGTCTCATGATTGAATCAGGTTTTACAAAATTTCATCATCCATTTTCTTATCGTTTAATTGTTGTTTAGCTGTTTCTGATTATTCTTCTCTAGAAATTCCATTTGTTAGGTACTTACCCAGCACTTGCATTGAAGTTTCAATACAGAAATTCTCAAAAAGATATCTGTATGAAAATGAAAATTCCTGTAACAGTAACGGTAAAACCAATAATGCAGTATATTTAGTAGGTACATGATACACATTAAATTGACTGATTACAATAACAATTTGCGGCATTTCAGGTCAATCCGTCTGGGAAAACATTTTTATGTAAAGTTTATTGTGAACATATTGAGTTACAATGGGTCGTGAAAATATTTCGGTTTTATTGTGAAATAATTGAATATTTCCTGTATTGGGATATTGGCTTCAAATCTGAGAATAATTTAGTGCATGGAGTTTGGGGTATGTTGATTGACCATCAGGATACAAAATCTCGACAAAAAAAAATTTGGAATTTCATCGTTGTAGTCGAGGGGTGGTTAAGTCCTCAAAATATATACACAGATTTTAAATCTTCATTGATTTTGTAGGATTTTGAGGATTTTGAAAATCTTCATATGATTTTACAGGATATTGAAAGATTTTAGGTGATTTTGGATTTTGGAGCATTTTAGGGAAGTTAGAAGGGTTTTTAGAGATCCTAAAGAATTTTTAGAGGTTTTAATGGATTTTTGAGAATCCCAAAGACTTTTAAAAAAAACAGGAAGTCCTAGAAATTTCACCATAGGATTTCACAATATTTTTCCGAATTCAACCATAAGATTCCATGGAATTCTTGTACAAAAATTCCTCGAAATTACAGTAAAAGATTTCATGAGATTTCTTGGAATTCCACTAAAATTGTATGTCATTCGACAGAAATTACTCAAAATTCCACTAAAATTTAATTCATTTCTTCAGAATTCCGCTGAAATTATTCGTGGTTCTATGGAAATTCCACGGAAATTCTGTTTAATTCCAAGCGAATTCTTCGGATTTCATGTAATTTCACTGGAATTCCACAATAAAATTTCAAGGAATTCCATGTACCTATGTAATTCGATGAGAATTCCTTGGAATTTTACTCGTCATTTCATCGAAATTTTATGTAAGTCGACACAGAGGGAAATTATAAATAATTTGATGGAAATTCTGCAAATATTTCATAATTTTTTTTTTTTTTCGAAATCCCACTAAAATTTTTTTTAAACTTTACTTACTGAAATTCCCCAAAACTTCACCACTGAAATTTCACAAAATTTTAATAAAATTTTTCGGAATTTCACTGACATTTCCTGTAATTTCTTAGAAATTCCTGGGAATTTCACTAAAATTTTATGAGTTTTTTTTGAAATTTCACTGAATTTCTACGTTATTAGTCGAAATTTCAATGAAACTTCAAAATTGTTTCATTTATTTCCATAAGAATTTTTCGGATATTCACTGAAATTATCTTTCAATAGTCAGGAATTTCTGCGAATATTAATAAAATTTCAAGTAATTTCTTGAAAATTTACCAATATTCCGAAATATATTGAAATTTCATATCATTACCTGGGAATTTTTCCAAATTTCACCGAAATTCCAAGTTTTTAGCCGGAAATTCCTCGGAATTCCACTCGTGAAATTTTCTTTAATTTTACTAAAATTCAGTAATTCGATGGGAATTTTTCGGAATTTCAATTTCACTAAAATACCATGTTTTTAACTGGGAATTCCTTGGAATAAAAATAAAACTTCATGTTATTACATTAGGATTTTTCGGAATTTCACTGGAATTCCTTATGAATCGATAAGAGTTGTTCAAAATTCCACTTAAATTTCATGAAATTCCCTGACATAATGCAATTTTTTGAAACTTATTTAAAATTCTTTATTTAATTAAACGAGCACTGAATTTTCATGTTGGGAATTTCGGTGTAATTCAATGTAATTTTTCAGAATCCTCCATGCAACCCATTCAGGATTTCATGTAATTCGATCAAAATTCCATTGAAATTTCATGTAATTCGAGAGGAACTAAAATTTAATGTGAATTCTATGGAAACTCCGCAAAAATTTCACATGTCACATTTCACACTATAAAATTCAATAGAGTTCTTGGATTTTTTTTTCTTTGGAATTACAATATAAGATTTCATGAAATTCTTCGGAATTCCATTAAAATTTCAAGTTATTCCATGGGAATTTCGCGAAAATTTTAGTCAATTCCATAGAAATTCCTTAGAATTTCACGAGAAGATTTTATGGAATTCCTCGAAATTCCATTCAAGTGTTAAATTTGAATGAAAAAACGTAAATTCCTAGAAATTTTACAATAAGATTTCATAATACTTTTTCGAATTTCATTATGAGATTCTATGGAATTCTACCATAAAATTTAATGGAATTCTTGCACAAAAATTCCTCGGAATTACACTATGAAATTCTTCGGAATTCCACTAAAATTTCAAGTTATTCCATAGGAGCTCCGCGAAAATTTCAAATAATCCCATAGAAATTCCTTAACATTTCACCAGAAGATTTTATGGAATTCTTAAACAAGATTTTTTCGGAATTACAGTATAGGATTTCATGAAATACCTCGGAATTCCACTAAAATTTCAATTTCAAAATTCCATAAAAATTCCATAATTTTTTCACTGAAATTTCCCTAAAATTTCATTACCTACTAAAATATCCTGGAATTCCGCAAAATTTTTATGAAATTCTTCGGAATGTCATTGACATTTCATGTAATTTCTTAAACATTCCTCGGAATTCACTTAAATTTAATGAGAATATTTAGAAAGACCACGTTCATAGCCGAAAATTTCCCGAAAGTTCAATGAAACTTTAAAGAATTTTTCATTTCATTTATTTTCATAAGAATTTTTCGGAATTTCACTGAAATTCTCTTTTAATAGCTAGGAATTTCTGGGAATATTAACCTCAAGTAATTTCTTGAAAATTCACCTTGAAATTTCATGTGGAATTTTTCGAAATATCACCGAAATTTTATGTTTTTAGCTGGAAATTCCTCGCCATTCCACTTGTGGTATTTTACTAAAATTCAGTAAGAACTGAAATTTGATGTTGGGAATTTCGGTGTAATTTCATATAATTATTTAGAATTCCTCCATGCAATTCATTTAGGATTTCGTGTAATTCGATAGAAACTAAAATTTAATGTAAATCTATGGAAACTCCGTAAACATTTCACATGTAATTCCTTTTTCAGAATAACATAATTCTACCGAAATTCCTCAAAATTTCACTAAATTATGAAATTCTGAGAGACTTCACAGATTTTTGGGGATTCCAAAGGATTTTTGGGAATTTCAAGGGAAATATTCTTTAGGAATGTTAATTAATGTTTTTATAAGATTTTGCAGGATTTTTTTGGTTTTAATGAAATTTTGTTAGATTTTGTAGGATTTTATGCAATTTCAAGAGATTTTGTGGGATTATGTTAAATTTTTAAAGTTTTCAAAGATTTCTAAGGATTTTGAGTAGATCTTTTGAGATTTTTTGGGATTTTGACGAACTTGTACACGGATTTTGACCAGTTAACTACCCCTCGGTTTTAGTAAGAAGGTACCTACCTTATGATTTAGATTTTGGAAAACTTTGAAAGGTCATAACTTTTTTTCTATTGTAGATAGAAAGCTGAAACTTTCACTGAATTTTATCCCTTCCAAAGGACTGCAATCCCTGAAAATTTCAGCTCATTTTCACGTATAGTTCCTGAGATAAAATCATGTTAAGCAATCTGGGGTGATTTATCAATTTTTTAATTTTTCTGAGTGCCTTTTTTCATAGATTTTGGCTTCAAATCTGAAAATAATTTAGTGTATGGAGTTTGGGGTATGTTGATTGACCATTAGGATACAAAATCTCGACAAAAAAAAATTTGAAATTTCATCGTTTTAGTAAGAAGGTACCTACCTTATGATTTAGATTTTGGAAAACTTTGAAAGGTCATAACTTTTTTTCTATTATAGATAGAAAGCTGAAACTTTCACTGAATTTTATCCCTTTCAAAGGACTACAAACCCTGAAAATTTCAGCTCATTTGCACCTAGAGTTCCTGAGATAAAATCGTGTTAAGCAATTTGGGGTGATTTATCAATTTTTTAATTTTTCTGAGTGCCTTTTTTCATAGATTTTGGCTTCAAATCTGAAAATAATTTAGTGTATGGAGTTTGGGGTATGTTGATTGACCATTAGGATACAAAATCTCGACAAAAAAAAATTTGAAATTTCATCGTTTTAGTAAGAAGGTACCTACCTTATGATTTAGATTTTGGAAAACTTTGAAAGGTCATAACTTTTTTTCTATTATAGATAGAAAGCTGAAACTTTCACTGAATTTTATCCCTTTCAAAGGACTACAATCCCTGAAAATTTCAGCTCATTTGCACCTATAGTTCCTGAGATAAAATCGTGTTAAGCAATTTGGGGTGATTTATCAATTTTTTAATTTTTCTGAGTGCCTTTTTTCATAGATTTTGGCTTCAAATCTGAAAATAATTTAGTGTATGGAGTTTGGGGTATGTTGATTGACCATTAGGATACAAAATCTCGACAAAAAAAAAATTGAAATTTCATCGTTTTAGTAAGAAGGTACCTACCTTATGATTTAGATTTTGGAAAACTTTGAAAGGTCATAACTTTTTTTCTATTATAGATAAAAAGCTGAAACTTTCACTGAATTTTATCCCTTTCAAAGGACTACAATCCCTGAAAATTTCAGCTTATTTGCACTTATAGTTCCTGAGATAAAATCGTGTTAAGCAATTTGGGGTGATTTATCAATTTTTTAATTTTTCTGAGTGCCTTTTTTCATAGATTTTGGCTTCAAATATGAAAATAATTTAGTGTATGGAGTTTGGGGTATGTTGATTGACCATTAGGATACAAAATCTCGACAAAAAAAAATTTGAAATTTCATCGTTTTAGTAAGAAGGTACCTACCTTATGATTTAGATTTTGGAAAACTTTGAAAGGTCATAACTT